AATTCCAAAGAACCCTGAGAGGCTGGTGTTCCAAGAAGATGAATCGCAAATACTCAAAAACTTATCAGGCCTTAATAACGGATTCAGAATCAAATTTTGCTTCGTGCTGATATCCACTTGGTCAAAGCTAGTCAGATAAAGAAGCCAAGAGTGCTTCCCTCTCTCCCTCCACCACTGCTGACCTCCCCCTCCAGACCACCTCCTCTCCCCCACCCCTTTTTGGTTTTTTTCCTCATTGTTTCTGGGAGTTTCCTTGTTGGTTTCGAGACAGGACATTCTCCTCAGTACTGGATGTCCGTTCTTCCTGCTGGAAAAACTGGATGCCCATTTTGAGCAAGAGACTAAGTTCAACTTTACTCATTTTGCAAGGTTGCAAAGAAAATAAAGCAAAGTAAGTCACTGGAATGAATTTCACTTTGTTTAGGCACCCCGCCCCCACCCCCTTCCCGCTCCCTCTGGTTACCTCTGCACCTTTCTGAGTTATCCTCTCACACCACTCCCAATCCCCGCCTCCACTGTCACTTCCGATCCCCAGTCTTTGACCACGCGCTATCTAAATTTGACAGGTTTGCAAGGATCTGCTGCCCACTCACTGTAGAAGGCTTGGCTACTAAGTCCTGAACTCATTAACTTCCAGAGTTCCACCCACAGGCAGCAGCGGGTTCCTCCCCTAACAACTTTCTAACTTCAATTCGCGACACCATTGCAATGAATTTCAGGAGGTCATGAAAAAGAAACCAAAAAGGTAACAATTTAACTATTTCACTGACAATTTCCTGTGTCGCACTAATTATGCCAACACGCTTCTCCTTGTTTTTCTTTTCTTTCTTTCTTTTTTTTTTTTAAACTTGAGTTTCACTTTCAGGTTAGAAGGAAATAACTGATTAAAAAAAGTCTGAATGATAACTAAGGGAATGCTCTCTGGCAGAATAAAATCAGAACGTTCTTGGCTTTTTAACATTAATCCACCTGTCTTCCATCTGAGGAGTGAACTGTCTCAGAATCACCCAACAGAAGAAGGTAGATGCTAATGCAGGTATGGGGCTGAAATGCACGATAATTCCAAATGCAAAATCAAATCTGATTTCTATGAAAAAACATCAATATTATGAAGCAATTAAAAAAAAAAAAATTCCTCTGTGGACTTCTGTTCATGGAAAAGCAGGCACATTAAGAAAGCTTCTGAAGCATTTGTGAATAGGCTTTAAATGGGGGGAGGGGAGGGTACAGGTGACTCTGGGATTGGGAGTGGTGGAGTAAGGAGTGAAAACAATCAAAATACAAGTGCATGTGTAGTATACAGTATGAAATTCTCTAAGAATAGGTAGAAAGATTATATTAGAAAGCAATTTAAATGCTTTTTTTTTTTTTTTTAAATTGCACCTTTGCCTTAAAGAAGCAAAATCCCCGGAGGCTAAAAACTCTTTTCTTCTATTTAGTTGGCTAGAAGGGAGACGACATTTTATGATAATATTCTTAAGAATTATCGGGATGTTTCTAGGAACTGGGGGTTGGCTTCCTGTTCCAGAATAAAAGAGGATGATGGGAGAGGGAGGTGGGCAGTTTAGGAAATTGCATAGCAAGGTTGGGAACCAGGCTGAAAATTTATGGAGTAGTTGGGGGAAAATAGGCAACCTTCCACTTACAGAAGCTGTCATAAGTTGTGTCCCTGACTTTACAGTGTGATTATGTTTCCACGTGTATCTGCATGTAGGTGCTCGTGTATTAACTTAGAAAAAGATATTGCAATGTTTATAAACCAAATTATAAATCATGACTAATTCTAGGTATTCGATCTCTATACTCCCTGCCTTAGTCATAACATAATGCAGTCTCTCCCTAGAATAAAGATATGTAGTTCTATATGCCTTCAAAACTACTTCCCCCAAATGCAAGGTCTTCTCCATCCTCCTCTTCCCCTGCCTCTCCCTAAGAATCTTTCAGTAGTAACTTCTTCACTCTCATTTCATACTTTAATTGCATGTTTTTTTGATTGAATGGAGTGTTTGTATTTGTCAAAAAATGGTTTCCTTTCTTCTTAGTTATTCAGCTGACTGTGGAGTTTGGAATTTAACAAAATTTCCCCCAACTGTTTGAAAAGCTTTCCTTTACTGTTACTTATTAACTCATGTTAGTGATGAAAAGCTATTCCTACAAATTGATCTCTTTTCCTTTGGGAATAATTAATGATATGATCTCCTTACCAAAAAAAAAAAAAAAAAAAAGTTTAGGATTTATGCCTCCCTTCTCTGTGTGCATCTGTGTGTATCTGTGTGTGTGTGTATGTGTGTGAGTGTCTCTGTGTGTGTCTGTGTGTGTCTGTGTGTGTGTGTGTGTGTGTGTGTGTGTTGTGTGTGTGTCTGTGTGGTCACTATTCTGAATTCCCTAACATTCTATCATTCTATTTTACATACCCTGTTTTGTTAGCAGGAATTAGATTTTTTTTTCACCCCTCCGTGAAGTATGTTTTTAGATTGGGAATGTTTTTCAGTTACTTAGGGATGCATTGGGTAAACATATTAGTCCTCAGTAATTCTAATTTTTATTCACAGACTTTCCAGAGATGTTAACCTGAACAAGGACTAGATAGACTCCCTTACAGGGATTGTACCCATAATCTTGTAAATCGGAGAGAGAAAACTTTATGGTACTGGGAGAATGATCAGCATCTGTTTGAAAGCAATCCCCAAAAAGAGAATATAGAAAGTTCAGGAAAGGAAATTATCACAGAAAAAAAAGAAATGATAAAAGTTGAAGGAAAACATAAACCTTCAGAGCAAAACAAGTAGCAGTAGACACATTTTTAAGGAAAGGCATAACATGCAATATCCTTGTGAAATTTTGCATTTAGGAAAAGACATTAAAATGTATAAAGAGAAACTGTTAAAAGTCTTTGTATAAAAGAAGAGAAATTGAAGCATATCAGATCTATTAATGTTGGAGAATAGGAGATAAGGAAATGATGCCTTCATGATTTTGTGTGAAATGTATTTTAAATGTATTTTTATTTTTATGAGTATTTTCCTGCATATGTATATGTCCATTATGTACATGCCTTGGTATACATGCAGACGAGAATAGAATGTAGATCCCTAAAGCTGGAGTTACAAGTGATTGTGAGTTACCATGTGGGTGCTGGGAATTGAACCCTGATCTTTTAAAAGACCAGGAAGTCCTTTTAGTTCCTAACCTCTAGTCTCATGATGTGTATTTGAGATTAACATTCCTGTATGAAAAGGCATAACAAAGCTCATTATTCATTACTTTGTTCAATTAATGCATGCCAATTAAAATTAATAAAGAAGTCTGTGCTTCAAACAAGCCATGTATCAAAATTATTAAAGACAAAAAGAGCAAAGGTCAAACTTTCAAAGGCCTTTGGATTTTGTCAATAATGTACAAACAAATATTCAACTCATTTCTTTTCATTTGTAAGTCAAATACTACTGTACAACAACCCAAGGGCATTTCAGGACCCAGACTTTCTTTTTGGTTATTAATGTACAATCAAAAGCAGAACTCTGGACTTTACGGGTGATCCTTTGTCACTATTTGGGAACAATACAGGTTGTCACAAACTATGAAGGGAACCATCTGCAATTCATGCTCAACCAGTGTGAATTAATGAGTGGCTTTGTGACTCTGAGTATTCCGGGAGTCCCTTATATTTCAAATGCTCTACTTTCGTGTTTAGAAAGCTGTCATTTTTCCAGTACTTAGCTGCGAGTATCTCATGACAAATTTGGGATTTTCAGTATTAAGTAAAATATTACAAGACATAGCATAGTTAAAATCATGTGCTCTTATAATTAAAAGCTTACAAAAATGTTTGAATTTGAAGGAAAACATAGGACCAAAATATAAATAAAAACTTTCAAAAATGCTTGTATTTGAAAAAAAGTACCAAAAGAAGAAAAAAAAAAACTTATAGAATCATGTACTCTTAACTCCCAGTGTTATTACTCTGGTTGAATAATGGTTTTACTATTACACTGCTTTATCTTAAGAGCCAGAGGATCAGCTCAGTTTATCACTTTGACCCTTGCAGTTACCTTTGGAGAATTTCATCCAGATCTGAGAAATGAATTAATTGTCCAAAGCTTCAAAACAGAACCATCATCATCAAAAGTATGTCATGTTATTCCAGAGTCTACTCTCTTCACTATGTCCCTCTACGTTTCATTGACTCTTCAGTGATTATTGGCTGGGACCAACATAAAATTATGAATAAGATTTCTTAGCATTGGGCTTTTCTAATTAATCTAGATAAAAATGTTTCCTAATTGTTGGTAGTTACAGACCCAAAATTCTAACATTTCATTTCTTAGCAACATCAACTGATGTTATACTAACAGTTACAGGAATGTAAGGATGAAAAGATGTGGTACAGACAGAAGAGCATGTGTCTCCTGTGCTACCAAGTAAGGCATCAAGATTACATGTAGTCAATAGATAGGGAAATATAGTGTTAGGTATTATTTTTAAATTATGAATGTATATTTCAAAGTAACTAGGAAAAAGGATTTTGAATGTTCACAGCATAAGGAATTCACACATTTTTGAAGTGTTAAATATGAATATCACTTTGGTTTGCTCACTATGCATCATATACATACTAAAGTTGTTACTGTATTCCAGAAGGGTGCCTAATTATTCTGTGTTGACAAAAATAATCTCAAGAGGAGATTTTAGTCTGGAGTTCACTGCCTTGGAGATAGTTTTAAAAATAGCAAATACAGCAATAGATAAAATAACCATAGTTGTAGGAAATGGCATGATTAAGTTCCTTATCTTTATGGAGGGGTAAAGAATGAGAAAAAAGTATCTATAGTTTATTTCACTTATTGGTGTTATTTGAATTATTTCTGCTTGGTGTACTTGGTATATTCTTGCACATTGCCAATGTTATTAAAAACATCTTTTATAACTTTAAAAGAATACACCAAAGGCTATGGAAGCATGGCTACAACTAATGCCTTTTATATTTCTTTTATAGGGTAGAATCATGAAAGGTTCTTCATCCCATCTGATATACTCCTTTGGGGGACTTTTGTCTCTATGGATTCTTTGTGTATCTTCCACAAACCAATGCACTGTGAGACATGAAGTAGCTGACTGCAGCCATTTGAAGCTGACACATATACCTGATGACCTTCCGGCTAACATAACAGCGTTGAATCTTACCCACAACCAACTCAGAGGCTTACCACCTATCAATTTTACAAGATACAGCCAACTTACTATCTTGGATGCAGGGTTTAACTCCATTTCAAAATTGGAACCAGAACTGTGCCAAACACTCCCATCATTGAATGTCTTGAATCTTCAACACAATGAGCTATCTCAGATTTCAGATAAAACTTTCATCTTCTGTAGGGATCTGACAGAACTCTACCTAATGTCTAACACAATACACAAAATTAAAAGCAACCCTTTCAGAAGCCAGAAGGTAAGAGGGGTATGCTCATTTTATTCTCAGAAATGCAAATACTGTCTACAGTTATGTGAAGTTAAGTTTTCCAGTTATTGAACCATTGAAGTCTATATAGTTATAAAGGTAAGAATACAAATGCTGATAACCCTCTTCCTCACTGTTGGGGTGCACCTGAGCATGTGGGGACTGTGATGTAAATCTGCCCCAAATTACAGTCTTAAGTCCATCTGAACATTGAGAAGTCTTCCTCTCTTGTGTTCTCTCATTTGAAATAGGACTTAGAAGACAGACCTCATGAGCAGAAATGCACTGACTATCCCATAGGGATCATAAAAAGTAAACTCACGGTGCTGCAGAATTTAGGACGTGGAGTCCTAAGAAACCCAACCAGTCCAAATTCTAACTTAACAAGTTGATACAATGGTAAAGCAGAGTGTTCCGATAAATATTGCTTACTCTAGGGAGTTTAAGAAATTTCAGAGCATTTCCTTTTCAATGGGTTCCACCCTTTCCTTTTAAGGCTTTGCTTAAATTTTAAGTCTATGAAAAGTATGTGCTATTAGCTAGTAAGCTCAGCAACTCTAAAATGCTTTATTTAAACCAAAGCCATTTGTAAATTGGTTTATCTTTTTTATTTTGTGACCTCAAATAAAATGTTTGGCCTCGTTTATTCTAGAATTCCAAGGACATCATGTACTAATTTAAGCACACTGAAGAGCTTTGATAAAGTGATATGTTGGCCAGTCTGTGAGCCTTCTTAAATCATAGTGTGCAGGGAATTCCCTCCAGTGTAAAGATCTCACAATCTGACCAAAGGAATTATCAGAGAAACACTGTTTTCTTCTTAATGCATACATGAAAGTTTTAATTCTTTTTTTAAATTTATTTTATATAACAAAGTCCATTTAAATGAAAACAAACATTTATAGACAATATTTGGGAATTTGGGCGTTGTTCTTTCCAAACTACTTCCTGCTGGTAAGGGGCGCTGTCATGGGGGATTCGAAGAAGATTCAGAAATCCTGGCTGTAGTCTGTAAGGCTGCTTTGTCCAGCTGTTTTGAATGTAGGATCATCTGGTACTCTGTTTCAGGCGGTCTGGCTTGATCAAACCACATTAGTCTGGAAGGAATCCACATCTTTTCATTTTCTGTGGAAACAAAAATAGAAATCCTTTTCCCCAGTAAGAAAGTTTTAATTCTTTAAAAGAAATTCCATTTGACTTTCCCCTAACAGACATCACTGGTTTTCGTACTTTTTGCCTGAATCTGAAGCTTACAGGAGGGTGCCCTGGTACTCTGGCTTTTATAATCTTTCTGTGCACTCTTCTGAGATGTTCCCTGAGCCTTAGCTGTAGGGATTGTGTTGCTTTCTCAAAGGGGTATTTTCTAACTCCTTTTTCTGTAACTAGTTTCCAAGATTCACGTATTATATTATTTTTACTTACTAAATACTCATTATCAACAAGCAAATAAATTATCAGTGGTCCTTATAGCATAATTATAAGCTTAAGTCCTTAAACTTGATGGAAGAAATAAGGTGATTCATGAAAAGACTAAATCCTTGCAACAAGAGTGGTTTTTTGTTTGTTTGAATGTTTTTTTAACTGAAACAGAATTACATCGCACCCTACCCTCCCATTACTACCCTCCAAACCATCCCAGCTACCTTCCCTCAAATTCCTCTCATGTCCCCCACCACTCTCATGGATAGCCTCTTTTTCTTTGATTTTGTTGTAACATGTATGTATGTGTATGTTCTTACGCATGTGCTTGCACAGATACACAGAAATACCAACTACAGAATCTGCTTTTGTGTATTTGGCTTCAGGGATGACCACTCTGCATTGGACAACCCAGTAAGGTGGCTCATCCTTGGAAGAGACTAAATTTCCTTCTCCCAGCAGTCACTAATAGTCTGCAGTTCTTTGTTCAAGGAAATTTACCCCCTTCCATGTAACATGTCTGTTGATATTGTCATTTCTCTGATCTTGTTTGTGCAGCCATATATAGGTAAGACTTTTTCACAGCACAGTGGTGTGAAAGGCTGTAACAATGATGGCGGTGTTTTTAGTTGCAACAAAGGGTATCTATCATTCCTTCAGAATAGAGAGAAGTAAGTCATTTGTTTCCTCTGAGATAATTCGGTTCACATACTTAGAGGGAATTTCTTCTGGTGTCTCTAATATGCATGTATCTATTTTTCATTCTCAGAATTTAATCAAATTAGATCTTTCACATAATGGCTTATCATCTACAAAGTTGGGAACTGAAGTCCAACTGGAAAATCTCCGGGAGCTACTTTTATCGAAAAATAAGATCCTTGTACTAAGACGTGAAGAACTCGATTTTCTTGGCAATTCTTCTTTACAGAAATTGGACTTGTCATCCAATCCACTTAAAGAGGTAAGAAGTCAAGGAAAAATTATTTCTTGTTCTATTTTTATACATGTATAATCCCTCACTGTGTTGCACAGATGGGAATTTAGGATTTCTAGTGAAACAAAATGATACGTTCTGCCAGGTCTTTAAGACATTCTTCAACACTTGTTGGGGGTCACTGCTGCCTTCATCCAAAAAGGGTTGAGAAATTTCCCATTGATGGGGCCAACTCTAAACCCTGTGCCATTGCAGAGATGTTCCTTGGTTTTTTGAAAAGACTCTGATTTTAGTTTCCTAATTGTATAGTGAAAATTAAACTCCTCTTCCTGATATCTCTATAAAAATGAAAACACTATGGTGGTTAAGAGCTCAGGCCACACCACCTTAGTAAACTACTTCTACCCAGGCTTTGTCTTTTCAGAATTGTGTGATCAGGTAACTCATTCAAGTAATCTGTGTTTCAGCCTTCCAAATTGGTACTCTAATAGCAAGCCACTACCTCAAGGGACTATGAGGCAAAATAAATTAGTAGCATGTCTGTTATATGGCAGTGTTTAGTATAAAAATTCCCTGCAGTGAAATATTTCTCAGTTACCTTGCTATTCTTTGGCCCACGATCTTCAGCTGAACTATTTTTATAAACAGCTATGTATATATCACACACATTTGATACTTTTGAGTTCATTGGTTATTGCTCAGATGTATGTGTTTAGAACTGACCATGTCATGGTATTGATAACTAGTTAGGGGTTCATTCCTGGGGAAGACTGACTCTCCTTCTCTCACCAGCCACTAATTGCCTTGAACTCTTCATCTAGGGTACTTACAAGCTGCAAGAATATGGGAAGTCCTTAACAAATAGTTTTATAAAGATATTTTTCAGATAAAATAGACTGTGAAAAAAATTATCCTGAAAGAATAATGAAATTATTTGTGTATGCTACTCACTTTATTTTTAAAATACATTTTTCTCTGATTAGAATATGTATTGCCATATTCTTATAAAATACATTAAAAAGGAGTGTTAATAAAAATCACTTAAAACAAACATTGTTAGTATTTGTGTATATGTATTTACAGTTCTCCAAATAATTAGAAGAAAGCCAACAACAACTCAATCTCAGAATACTTATCTCAGTACCAATACTGTGAAAATTGTTTCTGCATATTTCATATGTATACGCATGGTCTTTTTAATCAACTTAATATTTTTATACACACAAGAATAATTAAGGCAAAGAAGGGCAGTGACAGACAGGGTGGCATTTCTGGTACCTTACCCAAGATTATGCTCTCTGCAGCCATGTGATCTGACTTTTGGGGGCAAGATTAATGTCATACTATTGAACATCTTCCACATAATTACTAATTTAAAAGCAAAACCTTAACTTTTGAGACTGCAAACAATGTTATCAGGAGAATCCACCATATTTTAACTTTTCATTTTAACTCCCTTTTTTAAAAAAATTAAGCACACCTCTTTTTCATTTTAACTAAAATAAATAAATAAATAAATAAATAAATAAATAAATAAACAGTCCTACTTAATTTTGCTCCATTAGCCCAAACTTGTTACACACTGCATATGAGAAAAAGCCCCTTTGCTCTTATAGTAAGAGCAGCCCTGGCTATCACCCTCTGGAGTCCCTCCCCTCTGTGAATGTGAGTCAGTAGAAGAAAACTGAAAACATTATCATGAAATAAAGTAAGAAGAAAACCTGGAAAGACAGAACTGATAGCTCACTTTAGCGTTCCGGAAGAGAAGTCATGTGTCATTGTCTCATTACTTGGGGCCCCTGAAAGCAGTCACTAGGACAAACTCAGGGTCTGTCCCACTCCTGTTTTCACACATAATTTATTAAATGCAACTGGATCGGGTGTGGTTAAGGCAAAATTCTTGTAGAGGCAACCTTACCCGGGAAGCCGGGGAAGACCTCAGAGTGTGGGTGTGAGTGGAGGGGTTATAGGCACAGAGTGAAGAAGAAACCATTTACTAGAGGGATGGAGTGCGCTGTCCTGCCCAAGTCACATGGTGAAGGGAAGGGAGAACTGAGCAAAGACCATTTTAGTGTGTCCTACAGAGCCTGTTACATCCGTGTTTTTTGTTTGTTTTGAATTGTCAGTTTTCTCCAGGGTGTTTTCATGCAATTGGCAAGCTATCTACACTCCTTTTGAACAATGCCCAACTAGACCTTCACCTCACAGAGAAGCTGTGTTGGGAACTTTCAAACACAAGCATCCAGAATCTTTCACTGGCTAACAACCAGCTTCTTGCAACCAGAGACACTACTTTTTCTGGACTGAAGCAAACAAATCTCACCTGGCTCGATCTTTCCTACAACAGTCTGCATGATATAGGTAACGATTCCTTCTCTTGGCTCCCACACCTCAGGTGCCTGTCTCTGGAGTACAATAATATACAACGTTTGTCTCCTCGCTCTTTTTATGGACTTTCCAACCTGAGGTTCCTGAATTTGAAGCGAGCATTTACTAAACAAAGTATTTCACTTACTTCACACCCCAAGATTGATGATTTCTCCTTTCAGTGGCTAAAATATTTGGAATATCTCAACATGGATGATAATAATATTCTGAGTACAAAAAGCAATATGTTCACAGGCTTAGTGAGTCTGAAATACTTAAGTCTTTCGAAAACTTTCACAAGCTTGCAAACTTTAACAAATGAAACGTTTTTGTCACTTGCTCATTCTCCTTTGCTCACACTCAATTTAACAAAAAATCACATCTCAAAAATAGCAAATGGTGCTTTCTCTTGGTTGGGCCAACTCAGGATACTGGATCTTGGCCTTAATGAAATTGAGCAAGAACTCACAGGCCAGGAGTGGAGAGGTCTGAGAAACATATTTGAGATTTACCTGTCCTATAACAAATACCTCCAACTGACCAGCAGCTCCTTCTCTTTGGTTCCCAGTCTCCAAAGACTGATGCTCAGGAGGGTGGCCCTTAAAAATGTGGAAATCTCCCCTTCACCTTTCCGCCCTCTTCGTAACTTGACTATTCTGGATTTAAGCAACAACAACATAGCCAACATAAATGAGGACTTGTTGGAGGGTCTTGAGAATCTAGAAATTCTGGATTTCCAGCACAACAACTTAGCAAGGCTCTGGAAGCATGCAAACCCTGGAGGTCCTGTTAATTTCCTGAAGGGCCTCTCTCACCTCCACATCCTGAACTTAGACTCTAATGGCTTTGATGAAATCCCCGTGGAGGCATTCAAGAACTTATTTGAACTAAAGAGCATCAATCTGGGACTGAATAATTTAAACATACTTCTACCATCTATTTTTGACGACCAGAGGTCTCTGAGGTCATTGAACCTTCAGAAGAACCTCATCACATCAGTTGAGAAGAATGTTTTTGGGCCAGCTTTTCAGAACTTGAGTAGTTTAGATATGCGCTTTAATCCATTCGATTGTACATGTGAAAGTATTGCCTGGTTCGTTAGCTGGATTAACCAGACCCATACTAACATCTCTGAGCTTTCCACTCATTACCTCTGCAACACTCCACCTCAATACCATGGCTTCCCAGTGATGCTGTTTGATACTTCATCCTGTAAAGACAGTGCCCCCTTTGAACTCCTTTTCATGATTAATACCATTGTACTCCTTATTTTTATGCTTATGGCATTGCTCATTCACTTTGAGGGTTGGAGGATATCTTTTTACTGGAATGTTTCAGTTCATCGGGTTCTTGGTTTCAAGGAAATCGAAGCGCAGACTGAACATTTTGAATATACAGCATACATAATTCATGCCCATAAAGACAGCGACTGGGTTTGGAAACACTTCTCCCCCATGGAAGAACAAGACCAATCTCTCAAATTTTGCCTAGAAGAAAGGGACTTTGAAGCAGGTGTCCTTGGACTTGAAGCAATCGTCAACAGCATCAAAAGAAGCAGAAAAATCATTTTTGTCATAACATACCATCTATTAAAAGACCCCCTGTGCAGAAGGTAGGTGAATTTTGTGAATGTTTAAGTCTGTACTTGTTTTTCAGCTGAAATTGCAAAATTACTACACTTACAATTCATAAAATTTTTAATAAAATTAAGGGGAAAATAACAATTTTCAGTGAAAATGCAAATAAATTCCACAAATAATTTTAGATTGTTAGGCTTTTAAATTTAAAGAACTATATGTTAGTGATCTAATTATTCATTTTAATGTTTTATTTAGATTCAAGGTACACCATGCAGTTCATCAAGCTATTGAGCAAAATCTGGATTCAATTATATTGATTTTTCTTCAGGATATCCCAGATTATAAACTAAACCATGCACTCTGTTTGCGAAGAGGAATGTTTAAATCTCGTTGCATCTTGAAATGGCCAGTTCAGAAAGAACGGATAAATGCCTTCCAACATAAATTGCAAGTAGCACTTGGGTCACGAAATTCAGCACATTAAATTTATTTGGAGATTAAGTTGATAAAGGGATAGATCCAATTTATAAAGGTGTATCATAAATCTGAGTTTTACTTGAAAATTTTATGTGTATTTATAGGTATAGATAGATGATGATATTGTATCATAGTTGAATCTAATTTTTTGACATATTTCTTATTTCAGGCCTCTTATCAACAACCGGTTTATTTATCCACTTCAAATAAATACTTGGACAGTTAAGAGCATCTTCTATTAATGAATTCACAGTTGATCTCTGAGTCTCAAAGAGGTTGTAAAATAGTCTTTACATAGGTAAAACTGAGAATTTTATAGGTATAATTTTTTTTTAAGATGGAGTTTTATTGTGTAACTTAGGCTGCCCTGGAAATTACTATTCTAGGGTCTGGCCTTGACATCATGAAATTACAGAGATCTACCTGCCTCTCTCCAGAGTGATGTTTTTAAAGGAATGCACCACTACACTCAGCTACGTGAGAGTTTACAATACTCACATTTGGTGACAGTTATAGAAGGAAAGACAATTGCTTTTATGATACAAGGTACTTCAGTGCTAATAAGAATAAAATATTTTTTTCAGTTGAAAAGGTTTGCATTTTATTTTGATGTTGATTTTGATAGCTTTTAACGTAGCTTTTAAATCTGCATACCCAAGAGCACAATATTTTCACTATCTCTATAGTGTAACAGGATCCTAGACTGTAACACAACTGATTTCATGATGGAAGTGTCATTTAGGTCATACAACTCAGTATGAAGATAGCACCATCAGCCAAGATGAAAATAAAGGCCTAATTCATCAGTCCACAGTTCTGGGGACATCTTTAAGTGTACTAACTTTCTTTTTGGCTTCTGTAGTTCTTAATTGAAGTATGTCAACACAGACTATGTTCTTTGTGCTTCAAACTCACTCTGAGAAAGGCTCCAGGCTACCTACACTGTGATCCCAAACACCCAGCATAGTCATTGGCTGGCTAATAAAAATTTCCTATTGGCTTAAACCCATGTCCAAGCAGTCTTTTCTAGTGGATATTACACTTGGTAAAATGATGATTTTATTACTTGGTAAAATAGATAATACAATAAATAGTTGTAGTTTCCTAATATTTATTAATTTATTTATTAATGTTTCTTTTGCAGGAGAATTTAAATAATTTTTTAACCATATTATAGAAAGGCTTGCTTCCTGAACACTGGTCAATAGATTGTCTTTGTGGAAAATAGCATTTCTTTTCCTGGGTCATAGACTTGGGAGGTGTCTTTGGTCAAATCACTTGGTCTCAGTAGGATTCTTGGACTCTTCATCCATGAAATTATAATGATATATAAAACCTCAGATAATTAGAGATGATTTTGATATAATAAGTTTTTAATATATCAAATACTCCATATGAATATATTATACCATGAGATGATAAACAATGGGTAACATAGCCCCTACTTAAAAAGCCATTAGATTATGTTTTATTCTTAATAAAAACAAACCCTTTAGCTTTGTTTTATGATAAAGAGAATAAACACCTTGGAAATTCACATAAAATACTGTTTGAAATATCTCTTGCTCTGGTACTTAAACATAGAGAGAGTATAAATGATCATGTTGAATTAGCATCTGCCTTGCTCACAGTGTCAGCCACCTTCCTCCACTGTTAGGCTCCTCTTTTTCTCACACTGTATCCTTTAGAGTGAGCTGACTTTGGAAACCCCACATGCCATGTTAGAAGACAGAACAACAATGGTGACCAGGAGAGAGGTGAATAGGTGGCAGAAGGCTCTAACAGAGCGGTATTTGCTCTAGGCTGTGAATAGGGGGTACCTTCCAGAAGCAGACAAGACAAAGAATTGGGAAATAGCCTCCTTACTTAGGGTTGCATACCTACAAAAGTCACTTGTAATTGTGCCCCAAGGCAACTTTGTGTAGTCTCCTCCATTTGTCTTGTTTATTCAGTTTTTAAAATCAGTAAGAACTTAATGTAAACTTGTATTTTGTGTTAAAGAACCATACTATTGGATGGTTTTCCTGAAATTGTTTCAGCATTAGATTTGGGGAGCCTTTCTAGCAGTCACTTGTGTCTATTTTTCCCTTGGATGTACCTCTCTCTCTCTCTGCTGTGTGTGTGTGTGTGTGTGTGTGTGTGTGTGTGTGTGTGTGTGTGTGTGTGTAGGAATGGCATTGTGCTTCAAGGTAATCTTGGATGTTCCCTTGCTGCCTGTTTAAGCAATCTACAAGGCGTCTTGGATCCTTCTAATCAAGAATAGCATTATTATATTACACCATGATATGCTTCTTAGTAAGTGAATGTCTTCCATGCTTCCAAAGCAAGCAATATGAGGGAAAATTGACTCATATATATGTACATATCTCTAAATATTTTCATATCCACACATATCTAATATGTATATTAAATTAACTAATCTGTATGTAAAAACAAACAGTTCATTTTGGTGTCTCCAACTCTAATTCATTATCACATTGATCATCTTAATCTTCACTTTGCTTTTCTGTGGCCATCCACACAGATCACTGTTGCTGTACTTACTCATGCAATTCTATATATACCAGTATCAGAACTGTTAACCCACATTTGGAAAGCAATATTTACAGCTACAGTAAAATGCTTACATGCATCATCTTTTGCATTAGTTTACTGTAGTAAGATATCCACCCTGCCCACACCTGTTGCACTGACCACACCCATTGGGGCGTGGGGACAAGTGTGGGTGTGACCTGGGGGAACTCTCTTATTTCCTGGTCAGAGACAGAGAGTATCTGGAGGCATCCTTGTGACAGGAACCTGCAGCGATTATCTGTCTCCAGTGTAAGTGATTTCTCCCCGAATAAATACATCAGCCTATCATTTCCCAGATTATTATTTACCACACTATGGTTTATATTCTGTTTTCCAAATTGCTTTAGGCAGCATTTCCCCCTCCCTCCCTTCAACGAGGTTAATATATTCTTTTGTAATATAGTTAAATTCTGTTGTCACAGTTTGCATTCTACCCTGTGATCCCTGGATCTCTGGAATTGTTTTGGCTTGCTTGCATATACAAAATCTTATTCTTTGTGTGGTAAAGTCTTATGGGTTTTGTCAAATGGATAACATATTAAGATTTATCACTTTGCAATCTTATAGGATAGTTTTCTCACCCTAAAACATGCCCTATGAATTATCATTAAAAGGGGCTAAAGCACTAGCTTAGTGGTTAAGGGTGCTCGCTGCTCTTTCAGAGGACCTGAATTTGGTTCTCAGCCCATAGGTCAGGTGGCTTTCAACCACCTACAACTTCATCTGCAAGTGATGTGATGTCCTCTTCTGGTCTCTGAGGACATCCACACACAGACACATATAGACATACAAATAAATAAAATTTTATTTGGCTTCTCTTGGAACTCTTACCAATTATGGCCTATTCACTAATTGAAGGTCATACTGTATAGCTAAAACTGCTGAGTTAATTGACTTATTTGGAGCATTGTCATTTGCTGAATTTAATGAGTAACTTGATGACATATTCAGGTACATAGCTGAGTTTAGCATGCTTGCCGTAAGCAGTATGAACAGTATCAAGGCATACTACATGGCAGACAGAAAGCAGCAACTGCATGGCAAACAAAGGCTGACACAACAGAGCTACATCACAGCAGAATATCACATGACAACTGGAAACCACAGAGACTGACATGGCCAATGGAGATGACTGAAGGCTAACTCATCTCTCTCTTTCTCTGAGGAAACCTCATCCCTTATCCCTTATCAACTCCAAGTTCTGAAGGAGTCTATACAGTCTGAGCCTACAGCCACCATCTCCATCACGTAACCTTATGGAGAAATATTTTTAATTTTCATAGTATCCATCACTATTTCTTGTTAACATGTAATTCTACAGCATATAGGTAAGATTTGCTTTTATCTGCAATAGCCTCCTCTATTAGGGCATCATAAAATAAGCATAATACTTCTTAAACATAACAAATATAACTGCTCCTCTTGGTAATATTGACTGTGCTGTCAGTATGCTTTCTTTACTCTTCATCAACTTATAGGAGACAGGTAACATTTTTGCTTTTATTTTCTTGTCTACTTTAGGATGGTAGATCAAATGGATACATTTAAACGGAATTCAAATATAATTTTTTAAACTGTTGCTTAATATTTAATATGTTAAAACACACAGAGTGATATGTTTAAACAAATACAAATAAAACTAAAAAAATAAATGTGGAAACTCTGACTTGTATTTGATCCACACAGGAAGCAACATCCTAAACATCTGTACAGTGCCCTTTGTAATTGTTCTCAGGAGGAGTCTTCATCCCTTGGGTTTAAGATAAAGGGACTGAAGGAAGGATGTTTGTCTGACCTCCTATTCAGTTTCCATAGAGGACTTGTCATGTCTAATATTCTCAGGTTCCCACCAAGCAATCTACTCACTCCATCTTCTTATTTGCAAAACTAAACTCACCTGGATTTATGTAGAGTTTAAAATAAATCCAGGTATTTAGCTTTTGCATAAAAATGATATCCTTTTCAATTGGGCTTTTGTTTAAAAAAAATAAATTTGTGAGTGAAGATGAGACCACTTCAATGCCTTTCCTTTATTAATGTCTCATCATTTAGGCAACACCTTAGGTTGCTTATAAAAGAGACATCTTAGTAAATGATGCTGGCCATTAGAAGACATATACAAAAGTGTCCTATAGTCTCTAGACATGGGAAATAGGTGAGTAGTGTCTCAACCTAGGGTCAAGGACCAGGAATCAACTTCCAGCCAATCTCTCCTCCTCCTCCTCCTTCTCTCTCTCTCTCTCTCTCTCTCTCTCTCTCTCTCTCTCTCTTTCTTGCTCTCTCACTCTCTCCCCCCTCTCTCTCTTTTCTTTAGTTGTCTTCTCCAGAAATTCTGGGAAGCAAAAGACTTCATTACTGGTTAAGTTTTTAGAGCAAGAATATTTTAGCAGTGTTAAGTTGTTCCAGTCAAAGATAACGAGGATCCTCCATAGAGCTGAATAAATTCTGATTCTACTCATTGCAGAAAGAAAGAAAGCACATTGTGTGGAAACCTCCCTACATTATTTACTCTTCTCATTGCCACAACAAAAT